AAATTCGGGGGACCTGCTCTTGTGGATGATTTACACTAGTTACTAGTCAAACTTTGGGAGCAGGAAACTGTCCCAAACGGTTGGAGCCGCTCCATCATAGTCCCAGTTTTCAAGGGAGGCTCACGATCCGAATGAGGCAGCCATAGAGGAATCAGTCAGATTTCTATTGCCTCTAAATTGTTTGCTTCTGTCAACCTTCACAGACTGACTGGCACTCGTGAAAGCCAGATTCGTGAAGAGCAAGTCGGGTTTCGTCTAGGTCGTGGCTGCATTGACCACATCTTCACCCTGCTTCAGTTGTTGGAGCACCGTCACATATATTGGCGGCCCACCGTTGTCGTGTTCCTCGATATCAAAGGTGCATTCGATTCGGTGGATAGACATGCACTTTGGGACTGTCTAATCAGGAAAGGTGTACCTGAGAAATATGTGCATATTATCCGAGCATTATATGCGCGTGGCTCGGGCGGAGTGAGGGCTTACGGAAAGTTGTCGTCGCCCTTTAATGTCTCCAGCGACGTGAGACAAGGATGCCCGCTGTCACCTTTCTTCTTCAACTTCTCTGTTGACGAAGTCATGGAAATCGCGTTCACAGGACACGACTTAGAAGGTGTGGAGCTACTCCCAGGAGAACGACTTCTTGACTTAGTGTATGCTGATGATATTGCCCTAATCCGTGACAGCTCACAAACGTGTCAGGCGGCACCGGACAGATTAGCACTAGCTGTCCGTCACTTCGGGCTTTGCTTCGAACTCTCGAAGAGCAAAGCGTTCCTCCAAGATGGGCCTGGGCCGCCTCCTACGCTAACCGTTGGTGGGGATCAGCTAGAATTCGTTCAGAAATTCAGTTACCTGGGAAGTTGTATCAGTGCCCGTGGGATTGAAGGTGAGATCATGAACCGTATAGCAAAAGCTCGGGGCGCTTTTGCTAATCTTCGCCACTTATGGCGCCGGTGCGACATCACTCTCGCCCTAAAGAGTAGAGTGTACAATGCAGCAGTACGTTCGACCCTACTGTACAGTTGTGAAACCTGGCCGCTTAAAGTAGCGGACCTGAAGAGGCTAGTTACGTTCGACCACCGGTGCCTTCGTAATTTAGCTCACATCTGGTGGGAACACCGCGTGAGTAGCGAGCGTGTTCGACGCCTTGTTTACGGCACAGGAAAAGGAAATGCACAGCTCAGCACCGCCATTTCACGCACCAGGCCCCGATGGCTCGGCCATGTGTTACGCATGCCAGCCCACCGACTCCCGCGAAGTGCGTTGTCTGCGCGCCGGGAGTGTGGATGGAAGAAGAGGAGGGGTGGCCAAGCGGTGATTTGGTCGAGAGGAATGAAAGCCCTCACATCTGAGCTGGCCTCGGTTGGAGCGTCCCGGCTCCCTGGTTGGGGTCTGAAAAATGATGAACACGTTTGATTGGACACGCTTGCTGTTATGGCTAGTAGCCGACCTCAGTGGCGTTCGTGCTGTGAGTTTCTTTGTCCCACCCCATCCCTCTTAGCCTCCCCCTCCAACCACGATCTCCTTATTTAGCTTTATATAATTTCGCATAGTATTTTTTGATGCACAGTAGCCGGCTGGTAGCTTACCGGAACGATGTCCACTAGTTACCGGTAGTAGCTCAGCCGGCTTGCACAAGTTGCATTTTTTCTCCTTTTTCTGTGTATTGCGGAACAGTAGCTGAGGTGTTCCCCACCTCTAGCTAACGTGTATGATGATGATGAAGATGAGCAGTAGCATACAAAGCCTCTCTACATGCCCGATGCAGCAGATAGGGCACCGTTGATTATCCTCTGCGGTGGTCAGAGCAGCAGGAATTTGTTTGAAGTGAGATTCATTGTATTGCGTGGGCATAATACTGTCAAGTTACCAAGGCCCAGACAGGAGAACGATTAGGGTTCTCAACCAAAGCCTTTGGTTCAAAAACCTGCAGCTAAGCAGCGGGTTTGGCACTAGGCTACAAAGAGTCCTTTTTAAGGAATAAGGAGCCACCCTCATTCCAACCCCGAACCTGGAGGACCAGGAGGCTGAATTTATCTGGCCTCTAACCATTGCCCAATCTGGTATGAGTGACTCTGAAGGTGCAAAAATGCACCACCCAGTATAGCTCAATGGATCACTGAGGCACGCAAACCGTCACACCACGGTAAGGTCCAGCCTCATTGCGATGACTTCTAGATCATAGGCATGATGAAAATCGGAATGCTGCCAAAGCGCTGGTTGGTAACTTGTCCCCAGCTCCGTTGTATTTTACTCAACTCAGATGACTTTTCTCTAAAGTCATCCCACACGCGAAGCTTAACGTGATAGATTCATAGGATTGGGAGCTCTAAAGCAGGTGACTGTTAAAAAGCACACACCACATATCAGCACACAATCATTCACGATGACAGGCACGAAAGGCTTTGCAAACCGGCAAGTGGCTTCACGAAATAACCCAATCCACTGGACAGGACGGCAAAGCGGTATGCGTGAGGAGACAATACCGTGTATTTCCAAAACCGTAAAACGGTACACAAGCCAGCGAAAAATAATAGCTGAACACAGACAAATTATCTGAATCATTAGTAGCAACGGTTCTAAGGTTTGATTAAATTTTTGCTGTATTCATACTTTAAGCCAGCGCGGCTGAACGATAGACCACCATCGAGCGGCCGGTTCGTGTACCGCTGGCAAATACAGTAAGACAAATGTAGGGGAATGTCAAATACAGGAATGCGTAATGTATCCGTAAAAATGGATTTCCACTGTTCATGGTGGGGATGGAAACCAGGAAAACATTCGCGGCACAGTTCAAGAACGCATCGAAACTTTCGCTGCCTTTACACAAAGCTGCCTCACTAAGTTGGCAAAGGGCAAAAAGCTCGTTCACCCAAGTCACGATGGCGTAAAATATGGGTCACTCGTGTAATACACTCCACACGGTTTCAGGTCAGGTCAGATGGACGATAGATGCTTCCGCCTAACGAGCGTCCAGTTCTTGTGCCGGTAAGTGAAGCGGCCCCGGCACTTCGACGTTGGATTGTCTCTTCTTGCTTCTGCAATGGAATGAATCAAGAACAAAAGCAATCTCTGCACTTTCATATGCCAGCATCAAAATACACTGCATATACCAGTACAACTAAATATCTCTGGAAAAAGGATGGACCAACAATTGTCTAAGCCTCTTTTGAAGGCTACTACGGTGCAAGGGAGAAAATATCAACTGTCATAATACGTGAGACTGAAAATGTCCACTGTAGTGACAGCACTAACCAAAGTGCTTGGGGTATCATCCTTATTGTTTGCTGATGACCTTAAGCTATGGAATGTTGTAAATGTTCCTGGGAGTTCTGAGGCCATACAGCATGCACTGGACAGACTCTGGGACTGGTCTACTTTGTGGCTACTGTCCATAAATCAGGCTAAGTGTCCCGTCCATCATACAGGAGCAACTTTCCCACCTTCGAGCTACGTACTCGGTGGGGTCGAACTCCCCCTTGTCTCCAACCAGTTAGATCTAAGTGTCGTTCATTCCTCGGCTTTGCATTCTGGTAACAACTGGAAGAAGGCAGCTAGTAGGGGTTTCAGAATGTTGTGGTTAATACGCCGTTCTTTCAGCGTCTTAACTGCCGACATATTTTTGAAGCTGTTCTCAGTTTTCGTCCGGCCCCATCTGGAATACTGCATCCAGGCTTGCCCGCCCTGCCTTTTTCGGGGCAAAATGGGGCTTGAGAGGGTTTTGAGAGTAGGTACCAAACTGGTCGATGGGTTACGGGGCCAATCGTACCCGGAGCGCCTACTTAGCTTGGGTATGTATTCAATGCACTACCGACGGCTTCGAGGAGACCTAATCCTTACTTACCGCATTTTAACAGGGAAGGTTGGACTAGACTTGAGCTGGCTATTTAGCCCGGCTAGGTTGCCTTGTCTTCGCGGTCATCCCATGAAGCTACACAAGCCGCGTTCTGACCGGATCAGGGCGGAACTCGGTTATCGCGTAGAGTTGTCGAGCGCTGGAACTTGCTTCCAGAAAGTGTAGTCGGTGAACCTACGGTTAGGGGTTTCGAGCATCAGCTAGACACTGTTGGGTGGCAACACGAAACCTTTCCCTTCTCCTGACCATATCCATCTTCAAACTTTTAGTTCTTATTCTGTCATTCTCTTCACTCTTTGGTGTTATCCTTCATTTTCATGACCTTCATTCCCCTTTATCTTCCATTTACTTTCTACTTCTTTCTTACTTCACGTAACCTACATAGCGCGGACTGCTAGTGCAGGGAACGTGGGCAGTAATTGCTTGACCAGGGTGTGTTTCGGGTGTTTCTTTTTAGATCTATCAAGAACTAGCACCTTATCGTTTCCTGGCTCAACGATTTGCTCAAGAAGGAACACTCAATGGATTTTCCTATCGTTCCAGTCCATCTGAATCTGAATCTAAGGAAGAATTTCAATCATTCAGAATATTTTTAGTATGCCCTTGATATATGCCGTAAATACAAATTTCCCGGTTACAATAAATAACTTCAAAATTAAGAAAAAACGATTTCAAACGCATAAGTACACAATAATAAAGCCTTAATATTACACTGAGAATTTTTGGGTGACGGTAATTCATCCCTAATGTGTCAATCTGGGACTGCCAATGGCACAAAATCTGTCACTCGGCGAGAGTCTAGCGCTGAAACCTAAATGTAAAGAACGATGACGTTAATGAACCAGCATAAGTGTTAACAAGCTTTTAGGTCATAATTTTTTACTTGTATTCTTAGTTTGTTTTTTCCTTTGCGAATGACCAAATCACGTCCCAATGGGATAGCCGACCGTCCATCTGTGAAGGTAAGGAAATCAAATATGTTGAATAAATCTCAAATCCGACATGTTAACCATTAAAACGATTTATATTTGTGCTAATGTTAAAGTTAGTCTGTTGTCTGTGTTTTCGCTTGTATATGATTACTTGCATTGAATTTAACGCTTACCTAGATACCGCACGCGGCGATCATTCAAAACCCAACCATGGGAGCGAATGAAACTGATAATCAAACATCACTAAAGCCCAATGATTTTTCCTTAGAGGAATATCTGAGACTTATTTTTGACGAAAAAAGCATCATGTAGTTTATACGGTTACATGGTCTTTACAGTCACGTTTCAGTCTTCCTGAGCAGGAAGAGAAAAATCTGAATTTCGCTAGTAAATTACTAGACAAGCAAAACGAACTTAAGGCGGTACATGAAGATCTTACTAACAGAAAAGAGGTATGTATAAAATTGCCTATTTTTGGAGGAATTCAGAGTTAAAATGCAATTAACTGAAATGAGAAGACGCCGACTTGAAGAAAAAGAGTGCGAGCTGAAGGAGTCGCTAATGAAATTTGAAAAGTTTTTAAAGGACAATGACGATAAACGTGCAAGGGCACTTAAGAAACTTTCATTGGAGCGTGGCATTCAGAAGCAGCGCTTAAAACAAATTGATGAGTAGGTTCTCATGAATAGACATTACTTCCTTTGGCAGACTTAACGAGAGAATACAGAAGCTGACAAGGGAAAGGAAAAACCTGGATACAAAAGTTAAACGGTTGAGAATCTTCAAAGACTTTTTGGAACAAGTCGTTAAAAGATCTGATGATTTTAACGATATTTCGGAATTAATGAAGCGCTACGAATCTCTCACAGCTAATTTAAGCGTATTTGCATTGATAAACATTTAATGTTTTTTACCGCTATTGTTGCAGGATTTAATGGAAAAAGAGGAAATGAACAGTGACATGTCTCAAAATTTAGAAATTGGTCTTCATAAATATAGAGAAGTTGGTTTTACTTTTTGTGACAACAATTAAAGGACAAATGTGACGAGAAAATGTTTTTGCTAAACAAACTGACTGAACTTCGACGCTCTTTGGAGCTTCACCAAATCGAATGTCGTGATAATCAAGTTGCTTTAGAACATGAAAAAGATGCTACAGTGTGGCGTATCATACAGCTTAACTCTATAAAGCTGTGAGTGTTCTTGTTTGCTACAAATGTTTAGTGCGATACAAAATATGTACCAGCTTGCAAGAAAATTTCAAAGGTTTGGAAGTGAAGCTAACGCGGATGATACGAAATCCCAACTTAGTGTGGTGAGTTGAAATTATTAAGCATGCGGCTGCATTCAAACTCTGGTTAACAGTAGATGGGTAGTTAACTGTCTATTAATTCATCCAGGACTATGCGTCATTCGCGCTAATTAAACTAGGTACCATTTGCGAATTATGTTGTGTTGTGGGATGCAGAAGTAAATTTGCGTTTCCGTAGTCAACTGACCTTAGTGATCAATGTTGCATAACAGTCTTAAAAATGACTACCACTAGTGTTTAGTAATCAGCTATTTTGTACCAAGCCTTATTGAGTCGGTGGTGGGGCAGGTCATGTCAGGTCATGTATCACGGACGATAGAGGCTTTCGCCTAACGAGCGTCCTGTTTCTTGTGCCGGTAAGTGAACAACAACCCTAGGCACTTCGACGTTGGATTGACTTTTCTTGCTTCTGCAAAAGAATGAAGCCAGCACAAGAGCAAGCTTTTCACTTTCATGTATCAGCATCAGAATACACTACATATTCCAGGATAATTACAATGTCTCTGGGAAAAGGTAAGACCAACACTTCACTAAGCCTTTTTTCAAGGCTTCGACGGTATCACATTGCATTAGCTCAAAAGGAAGCTTATTTCAGATGTCAACTACTCGGTTGGTAAAACTGTTGCCTTAATGTACAAACGAGTCCTATGTTGTTTGAGCTTCAGGCGATGCCCACGCAGGTGGTCCGAAATAACTAACTCAAAGAGATGGATGGGATTGATACCACTGAGTCCTTAATGACCCTAAACATCTCTTTCAAACCACCTTGCAATCTGTGCCATCGCAAGATGTAACGCTTAAGAAGATTAGCGGGTGATTGACAACAAGCGTGTACATTGAAGGACTAGAGATGAACAAGGTAACATCTTGTAGATATACACAGTTTGATAAGTTTTTTCAACCAACTTTTGTCTAAAAGCAAGATCCTACTTCTCCCTTAGGCGACTGGTGTGGGGTGTTGCACAGTGCAGTTAAATAGTTTTCTTAATCGCTGTACAAAAGGCAAACGGCACCACCCTGGGACCTGCCACACGGTTGCAGCATGCGTTGCACAATCACCATTCCCAGACATTTCCGCTCTACGTAAATTTTCTTGTTTACCAGAACACTAGAGTATTTAACGCCACGCCGTCTTGTGGCTTCATGGCATTTGTTTGAACTCTCGGTAGTGTAGTAGACGATGGTTTGACAGATTTAGTGTATTATAGTGACCCAATATCTTTGACACTGAGCACTTTACCCAAACAGAGCCTTCGAGTCCAAATTTTTGTTCAAAAAAATTCAGTTATTTGCTGCTGCGTGTGAGCGAAAACGTTGTTAATGCGTTCAATCTACGATGGGTGAGGTCTTACGGACCGCAGCAAAAGCCTATGGTTCCAAAGGTCGAACACAAGACAGCGAAATGTTGACCGCGCTCTGGTTTAACGGAAATGGCTGTCATCTCGTTTACAGAAATATCCTGAAGATGCATGGGCCTTACTTGTAACCATTGACAAGTATCGTAAGAGTGGCTTTTAAGTAATCCAAGAGCACCACCCAATTTACCGCCATAATCCAACAATTAACAAAATCTTGGCTTCACGCTAAAATCTGGTCTCGCTAGTCCTGTTATTTTTCATTCCGCAGATTATTCTAGTCATACTGCATCAAGTAAAATGGCTGATATACTGCTATTGTTGTTGATATTGTCCGTTGATTTGGTTTTATTGTTGATACAGCAATAAAAGATTCAGACGGGTGCTTCCTATTGAGCGCAGTGTTTAGGCCGGATATTATTCGGGGATAATATTTTGAATTTAAAATTTAAGCCGGCAGGCGGGTATCATCCCATATTCAAATGATTGAAGTTATCAGGACATATATTAGTAGTCCCGTTATGCAGACGTCGTAGAATAAGAAAAACGAAAAGTAAACAATGAATGATAGCTGAAAAGAAGTACTAAAGCGTAAGAGCGTAAGTAATTGGACATCATCCAATAGACACTAATCCCCAAAAGCTCCTTGTAAGGCCACACTGTCCCTTTCCCCTGGCGGCGTTCAACGTATGCATTGTAAGACCAACAGGTCGACAGGCTGCACTTCCACGCAGTTTAGACATGCTGGGTGTTGAAGTGTGTTATGTGTCCGAACTTAGGATCAATAACATTCACGGGATTGTTAAAGTAACTGCGCCAGGTTTGTCTTCGCGCTAGTGGTTGCACACATCCAGATACACTGAGGCGGCAACCGTTGGTCAAGCCGGAGCAGGCATTGTTCACAGCTCCTACGTGGAGTCATCGTTGGTTGATTGGATTCCCGTGAGCAACTGTTTGTGTGCAGTCCGTTGGATGACACCTATTTATGTTGATTCACAGGTTAACACTAGACGCTGCTTGTTTGTGGTTTCCTCTTATATCCAACCGATTGCAGCTCTGTTGCCGCGAAAAACGCTTTCTTCCACCAACTAAACACGCAACTAAGCAGTGTTACCAGTTAAAATAACAAATTAATTTCAGAGGGTATGAATCCACATGTAGTTCTCCTTGGCTCTTTCGATGCTCAGGTAGGAAGTAAATATGGTCTTAACTCTCACTGTACGGACAACAGTGAGCGTCTGTTGCAGCTGTGTGAGGAACACCAGATGTTTCCTAGTAGCACTGCTTTCAGACACACTGGGCGCCGAAGTGCCACTTGGCGTCCTCCTGTAGCTGGCCATTGATGAACCCAAATATATCACATCGCCATTATATGTGAAGTGATTCCATCCTGAACTGTCACTCTGTCTGGAGTACTTGCGTCGACTCGGATCATGCATTGGTGCGCTGTCGCTTTTCCATAACTTTACCGAGAGGAGTACCAAGCACCTCCCTTGAATGGTAACTGGGAAGTTATCTCAGACTTCGGTCATGCGAGCATACCTTGATGCATTGTGGATCGAAGATTTGCTCTTTTGTTTTAATGACACTGAGCTTCAATTGAACATGATGTCGGCCGCCAGACAACGTGCAGGAGCTTCCGCTTGCGGCACTATCAATAGTTACCCCCTCAATCACTGGATATCCCAGTGATCGGCAAACCTGTTGGAATCCAGAAGAAAACTCCCAGCTGACTTTGAGCACTATGATACCAAGCGGAGTATTAAGGCGCGTGTTGACAGTGTAACCTTGTGGATCAGTCGGGCTCAAGAAATGGAGGAGGCTGGAGCAGTAGACAATTATCGCAAGCTCTTCCAGTTAATCCGTACCATTGGTCCCAGCAAATCAGGCTTCAGAGAGACAACCAGAGACAGCGCGGAAGCCTTGCTTCACAATAAAAAGCACCGAATTGTTCATTGGTTGGAGGACTTTCGGGAGTAGTTCACTTGGCTCTTTGCTTCCGAAACTCTTCCTGCTCAGGTATTGCGGGCTGAGCCATAACCAGTCAGTGACTCCGTCGGAGGCTAAGGTCCGAAACGCCTCGCGGCCCTAAATCGTTCTCGTGCTGCTGGTCTGGATTCGTATGCACCGGCACTACTTAAGGATAGTAGTGAGGTCCTCGGGAAAACACTGACTTTCCAGTTCGTATAGATCTGGAAGGCAGAAGCAATCCTAACGAACTAGAGTGAATCAAGCTTAGTGGCGATTTACAAGAAGGGTGGCTGCACCGATTCTGCTAGCCACGGCGTATTAGCCTAATGCCGGTGGTGACAAAATTACTGGTCACGATTCCCGTTTGTCACCTCACTGCGGAGCGGCAACCACGGAGTAGGAAAGAGCAGGCACGTTTCCGCTTGGGATGGATTTGGTTAGACCATATATTTACTCTGCGGCAGGTGTTAGAGCAGCGACACAAGTACCGCATATCAACAATAGCTTTGTTCCTTGACTTCATGCATGCGTCCGACTCAGTCGACTGATGCACTATGTTTGAAATACTTGTACGGAAAAGTGTTCCAGCGAAATACTTGAAGATCTTACGTGCTCTATATTCGAACACCAAGGGGTGCGTTAGGGTCTACGGTGGTTCGTCGGATGCCTTCCCAACAACAAGTGGCGTTCGGCATGGTTGTCCAATTTACCCAGATTTGTTCGACTTCGTCTTGGACTCTATCAGGGAATGTTCTCTTGTGCAGCCTCGTAATGCAGGTATCCAGGTGCTGCCTGGTGAAATGCTATTTGATCTTGATTATGCAGACGATACTATCTTGTTTTTTAACGATGATGGGCCAGCGCATTCAACCCTGAATAACCTCTCTAGAGTAATCCCATCATTTGGCATGCGCTTCGCAACTTCAAAATGCAATTTCTCCATACAGGACCACCAACCACTTGATTACTCCTTGACCCTTGGAACCAAAAACTCGAGGTGGTTGCTCAATTCAGTAAGCTTGACAGCTACATCAGCAATACTAAGCGAATAGCAACTAGGTTGGTTCGCATATTGTAAATTCTAGAACTGTCATTTTGAATCTGCGGCATCTATGGCGTCAGGAAGGGGTTTTCCCGTCTAAAATGTCGTGTATACAGGGCCACAGGCAGGGGCGTCCTACTCTATGGAAGCGAGACTTGGCCCATCAGATCAGAGGACCTATGACACCTTTACTTCTTTTATCGTCGTTGTCTGAGAAGCATTGCTGGTGTCGGATAGCACCCGCGTGTCCGCAACAATAGTGTGCATAGACGAGTACTAGACAGTGATAACCAGGTTAGTTCTTTAGGACAATGGATAATACTGCTATAGTTGCGTTGGCTTGGGCACGCGTACTTATTCCTGGTCACCTCTTACCTAGGAGGACCTTGTTTTGTTTGACAGCTGTAGAGTGGCGCAAGGCCCGAGGTGGACTAAAGTTGGCTTGACAGCGGGGAATGAAGTCACTGACGACCAAACTGAGTGCCGTCGTTCCGTCTCGCTTTCCACGCTGGAATCCACGTGGCCAGCCTTGTGCTTGGCTTGAAACGTTACAGGACATGGCTCGCAGTCGACACCAGTGGCGTGTCTTCTCTCGTTTCCTAATCGGATTCCCTGTTTAAAGTGTATTTGTTACTAGTTATCTGCGGGTAATGGCTGATTATGACAAGGGCAGTGAAAGCTGCAAGGAAGCTTCCTTGTTGATGCCGCCTTTTCTTTGCCCAAAAGCCAGCTATTTATGATGATATGTTATTGACAAGATGTAGGTGCCTTAACCCCGAGTATTTGTTGAGGGCATCTAGGTTTTACCGCAGGTCCCTCTTCTCTCTCACTTATTCTTCTACGTTCTGTAGCTCACCTTGGTTTTACGGCGGCGAAGCATCAGTTCAATAGTCTGCTGTACTGCTGTTTATGTTGAGCAATCCCAACCATGAAAAGCAGGAAACAGGCGGATAACCAGAGCTTACCGAACCTGACTACCCCAAATTTGCGGAGAATGGCTTTTAACCGTGGTATGTCTGTATCACAGAATACTCCATTGTATTCGAATTTATCCTACGCTCCTGAAAGTTTGACAACATACGCATTCGGCAGCGCTGCATACAGAACCAAATCGAAGTTGGCGATCACTTCTGCAGCTATCTCAAA